GATGGTAATTAGAATATCAATAAAATTAGCATTTTATGTTTGATTATATAAATTTTTTTGTTGACAAAATTCTACTTCTACGAATTTTCTAAAGTAAAGGCCTTGAACCTCATAAATTTGCATCTTCTAAATTTAATGATTTTACTTGCTTTTATAAGTTCATTTAAATGATATAAGAAAACAAAAAATTATTTAAAAGATTAAAAAAATAATAGTACCATAGCTTAGAAAACATGCGGAAGATAACTATTAATGCTTATTTCAAAAGCTTTTACTACTTTTTAGAATGATAAAAGAATTTCTAGAATTTCTTCAAAAAAATATTCATTATGAATTCAAATTAAAGTGATGGGGATATTTCCTTACTATCTGGATGAGCAAGAATTATTTAATTTGGTGATAAGGCAATTAATAACTATCTACATCAATGGTAGTATTTCAAAATATCTACATAAATCTATAATAATTATCCACTATTCAACCACTCACTTAAATAGAATTTCAAGAATTATAAGATAAAATTACATCAATCAAAAGCTATTTCTTACGACTGAATTACAGACACTTTTAACAATAAAACCAAAAATTACTCTTTATTCCTAAACATTAAGACCCTTTCTTCATTAAAAATAAAGAAATATGTTGCAGAAGGAATAATACCAACTTAATACAATATTCCCTAACAATATTAATTCAGAACTATAACTATTGTAAGCCATTTATACAAATTACTTAAACTTAGGTTTTTGCCTTCACTTCAAAGTTATTTGTAATAAAGACTTCGTAAAGAATAAACTAATTTTATTCCATATTCTTCAAAGCAAATTAATATAACTAATCTATTAAATTTTATTAATACTTTCACCACTCGACACAAAAAAAACTATATATTTATCGATTTTAGCAATGCTTTTAACACTGTGAATTGAGATAACCTCTATAGTATACTCAGAAAAGTAATCCTCGAAGCAACTGCCTTAAATCTCTTAAAACTATTGCATTCAAACTTACACTACATCTACCTTCAAACAAATCAAATATTCTATTTTGCCAAAACGGTGTGTCTTAAGGATCTCCTCTGTCTCCACCTTTATTTAATCTTGATATTCAAAAATTTCTTCCGGCCATCCTGACATAAAGATTCAAAACTGTACTTAGTCAACTTAAGAAATTCTTCAAACAAAGGTTTAAATCTGTCTGTAAATTCCAAAAATAACTATCTAATTGAATACTTGATTATATACTAACTCAGTTAACCTCCCTATTGTTTAAACTTGAAATGGAAAATAATTAAAAAAAATAGAGAATTTTGAGTTCCACAAAACAGAAACTTCTGCATGATCAACAGACTTAAACACAAACTTTCAGAAATATCGCTATCCCTTTAACCAATAACTTCAACCAACTTTTCAAATATTACTTTGTCTTTTTATAAAATATAAGCCTTTTATTCATATGAAATGCCAAAATGAAATCTTGATATTGACTATTTTAAAATTTTTTTATAAATAATTTGTTTAAAATCAAACTAGTTCTTTTATTATCTTATTTAAAACATTGAATTATTAGATTTAGTTATCTTTATAATTAACTAGAATTAATTTTACTTCAAAAGAATATTTTATGTTTTAAAGAAAATTACCTTAGTTCCATTACATAATGATTTATGATATTTACAATTTTTTATTTTAAAAGTTAATCCTTATTTCAAGAAAAAGCTAGCTAACAAAAATCGAAATTTCTAAAAATTACTTTTATTTGAAAATAACTTTAAATATATTATTCATTTTTGGTGATTATATATTATTTAAAAACTTCTATAATCTATATAAATTATGCTCCATATTTTACAATAATATAGGTTTTTATTAAGAAGTTTCAGTATTTTTTTATATTTTATAATGAATTAAATAAATTTAGAAGAGTTAAATCTTTTTGAAGTAACAGATAAAAGCAAATACATTAGAATAACATTTTCATCGTTCCAAAAAGGCATTTAAATATTATGATCATGTTTATCTATTGATTCATAAATTAAAATATTATTTTAACAGAACTAAGTTAGAAAATCACAAAAATTTAGGATCTTTATTAAGATTTAATAATTGAAAAACAATTTTTAGATGATATTAAACTTTGAGTTGAAGTATTATTGTTTCTGAACTTTAAGAAGAATTTATTTATGGAACAGTCTTAGATGCTCTAAAAAATAAATAATGAGTAACTACTTTTTTGTAGTAGTAATGAGAATATACTTCTCTAGGACTATTTATTGAATCATCACTTTTTTTATGAAGACATAATTTTTTGTTATTTTTTTCATATTGAGAACAAGCTAACCAAAACGCAAGAAACCTTAAATAATACTTTGATGAATTCAATAAGGCCCTGAAAATTCTATAAATATATAAGATTATTTTAAAGATTACTCTTCAAATTTATGCACTCGAACTATTAATTTAAATTAAAAACTATGATAATATATTGTATCAGGAATTAATAGTAGTAAATATTAAAATTTTGAGCAATTAACTATGATATAAAAGAATATTTAATGATAAGTAATTAAAGGTGGCTTATTTTAATTTCTTAAATACATTTTGAATTTTCATCTGTATATTTAATTAAATTTGATTTCAAAGTATATATTAAAAGAAATCCAAAAATATAACGAATATTGTTAAAATGTATCACAGTTGTCATCCAATAACTAAAGAAATACTTTATTGCTAGATTGGTTAAATATGGATTCCTTATAATTACATTAAATTGTTGAGTGAATCTTATATTAAAA